AGGGAAAAATATCTCAGACAGTGGGCTGTAGATCATGGTAAGGATCCAGATATCTTTATGACTATAACTGAAAAAGATAAAGATTTAGCATATATATATTATGATAGATTATATTCGGATGCAGACATGATCCAATTCACAAAAGATACTGATGATGATCCAAATACATTAATGGATATATCTAGATAAGAATAATTAATAAGTGAGGAAATTATGCTCTAATTGTATGAAGACTATGGCAATTCCCAAGCAAGAAGTTATGATAATGAGGAATAGATAGAAAAAATAATGATATTCCAGAAAAATAGATATCTATGATAAGATCACTATACATACTAAGATGAATTTTGCAAATAGGAGAGATTTTTTGCTTCTATAAACTAGTCAATATAAAAATTTTCAGATAAAAAATATTATACAAACTTTGTGTTATATACTAGTAACACATCAATCATATACACCAAAGAGCCAGAATATACTAAAGAAATAATTACTGCTGAGTAATTATCAAAATTGACTAATCATTGGAGAAAGCCAAAAATCTATAACCCCCAAATAAATTACATAATTACAATTAATGGACTAATATATAATAAATTAATACATGTTGAATATTTGCATTAGGAAGAAGAAGGACTCTTGGTTCCTTCATTATTATTTGAGGAATATATTAGCAAAGCAGTTATCAAAGATAATAAAAAATAAAAATAAAATACTGTAAAGTATTATCATAGCCTGGGCTTCTATCACAAAGCTATAAAATTTTTTTTGTTATATTCTATATATTAGTAACTTTCAAATTGACAGATCTGACCCAAAGTATTAACATGTATCATATATCTGGTATATATAGATTAAAACTTTTGATCTATCTTGTATCTTATTTGTATTTATTTCTTGTTAGAATTACATTAATCACCATCCATTCAATTTATAGGTATAGCTATCTGTGGATAATTAATTTTGATTTGAAAAATATATTTCATAGTTATAGTCCATAAAATTATATCATAACAACAATATCCAAAGTAGCTACAAATTTTGTAAATCAGTATAACTTAACTCCTTAGATGAGTATAGCTAAGCTTGATAATTATGCTGAAAAAATATATAAAGAGATTAAAGATTATAAAGCCCATAATCATGCTTGAGATATAATCCAAAAATTAGGATTTAGCAAAGATCAAACATATGTTTTAATTCCTATCCAGACTTCTGGGAGGTATATTACAGGACAAGACCCAATTGAAAAGCTCACTCAATATATTAAGGAAAATGAAAATAATCTTGAACCCAAAGAGATAAATATGCTAATATATAACTTAGCTAAAACAGCTTCTACTATAATAGCTTAATCTTTATATCTTAAATTGCTTCAAAAAAAATTGCATATACTTAATGCTAAATATCTTACATTAGAAGTAATATATATACCTGATATTACTCAAAAATCAAATAAAGAACAAGCAATAAATCAGAAACTCTGTAAAGATAAGAGATTTAATTGTTCAGAATTCTTTTATCTGAAAAATATTCAGGAAAGACTTAGTAAATATAATATAACAAAACCTCTCTCTATGTAAAATTTAATTGATATAATGATAATGTTATGTATGAGACCAGCAGATGTGGGAAATCTCTATATTAAGTATTATAAAGCAAATACTACTAAATGATATAATCCTAAATATTCTTGATACTGCACTGGATATGTCAAAAATAAAGAAGATGAACCTAGATCATTAGTATCTATGGAGAAAGATTCACTACTAGCTAGAGAATTACTTATCTGAATTCAGAAAGCAATTCCTAATAAATTCCTATTTTTAATAAGAGATAAATATGGTGATGTAAACGTCTACCCAATTAATAATTTTCTAGTAATTTATGGAATAAGCTCATCGTATTTGAGAAAAATTAGTTCTGAACATGCTATTACAATTTATGGAAATAAGAATGATACCTATTATAAACATCTCTGTTAATTGGCATTAAGACATAAGATAATTAATATAATATCAGATCATTATGATATGATGAATGACAGACCAATTGCTCTAATGACTAGAGAAAAAAAATACTAAGATATCAGATATTATAAATCCATATAATTACTAATCATGCTTCTTCACTTTCATTACTTTTATAGTAAAATCTTTATTATCATTAGATGATTCAAACTCAAACCCAGATTCAGATGTGATATTATTAAAAATTGGATTTTTTCTAGCTTTGCATGAAATATGTTGCCAAGAAATATCTGGATTTGCTATCACATTTATAATATTTTATTGAATCTCAGATTTTACTATCTCTAGTAATTGGCAGAGAGAAATCCAGATTTTTTTATCCAATATTTGCCTACAAATACTGGATATTATTCCAATAGTATTTTACTGATCTGTTAAAGACTTGGTTATTGTTTTAATATATCCACATAATTCTTGCAAATTGATTGATGCATCTAACTCTTTACAAAATTCTTGAGATGAGATAACATTAGCTGTGCCAGCTCTGATATTATCTTCAGTCATTGTAAATATGGAATTATTATTTATTAATACACAAAAAAATATAATTAAATATATTGTTATAATAAAATATTATGATGAGAATTTTATCTTGCAAAATTAATAAAGTACCAGTTAAAACTATATTAGATTCTGGTGCTAATTGTAATATTATAGGTGAGAGTATAGCAAAAATAGTAGGCTTGAAAATTGATAATATATCTGATACAGAAATATACAGTTCCATTAGCAAGCTTAATATATTGAGAATAATTCATGTAATGGAAATTTCAGTCCTGTCTCAAGATCAGAAATGAGAGCAAGTAAAAGTTACTAATATTTTCATTACCAATAAATCCAAACTTGAATCTGTATTGATATTGGGTTAGCCTTGGTTCCAGAAAAATGTAATAAAAGTGGACTTTCCAAATAAAACTCTTATATTCTTCGATAGAACTAGTTATGAGATTAAGTATAATTGAGAATATCTGGAAAATTTATAGTATATACATCTAAATTAAGTATCCAAACATTAGTTATTTTTTTCTGATTAAAGATATATAATATACAATTTAAGAATGACATAACTAAATATTTTTGATTTATCAGAGTTACTAAAATAGATCTTATATTTTTTAGAAATTAATCAATTTCTTTATTCTACTATATTTGTTAATCACTTTTGGTATTATTACAGTACTCCTATTCTATAGCGTCACATTGAGTTTTCTATAAAAGGTTATTAATAGAATCAGTATAAAAAAAAATATATCTGGACCTCTTTATTGGCAATTGATAAAGTTTAAAAAAGTTATGTGTGGAAAGATAAAATCTTTTTATTATTCAAAAATGGTATATCTCAGATTGGAAGGTTTAAAAATCTCAAATGTATTGATTAGTACAATTTTACACTTGTGTCTAGATATATGCACTCTTATTCTTAATAAAAGTAAGGGTTTCACTAATATATCAATTATAGAAATTGCAAGATTTTCTTTAAAACTATAATATCTAAGTCTTAATTCATGTAAATATCTTACTGATTGATCTATCACTGAAATTGTTCACTCATGCCAAAATCTTAAATATCTTAAGCTTGGTGATTGCTTGATTAGTAATAAAGCTGTCAAGGAAATAGCTCATAATTATACTAATTTGAAATATCTTAGTTTGAAGGGGTGTAAAGAGATTAGTAAAGAAGTAATAAAAAAACTTAATTCTAAAATTAAAATCAAATACCCTAATTATTCAGATAAAAAATAGTCTGATTCTGATCTACCTATTCCAATATTCATCAGTATATTATTAGATGAAATGGATCTTATTTCTGCACTCAGTAATTGCATCAGAGAGATTGGCAGGATTAATCTTAATCATTCATAATTTACAAATAATTTTATATAGTAGCAGAGAATAGGTAATTATTTATCAAGTTATTTTTTTGGTTATAATATATATCATTAAATAATGATTTTTATAAATTGCCTTGTCAAAAGAAAACTCCCAGTTAAAGTATTAATTGATATAGGATTTAAATCCAATACCATTAGTAAGAGCTTGTTTGATAAGCTTGAAGAAGATTATGAAATACATGATTTTGATGAGAATCTCTATAGGAGTATAGTAGCTGATCCTGTTAAGAATCTCTATAGAGATATAATAGGTGAAATAAAAGACTCAGATTTACAGTTTCATTATAGAAAAGTGACGAAACTTGGATTATATTGAAATAATAGACTTTCAAATTTGCAAAAATCCATTATTTGATCTGGTATTGGAATAAGATTAGTTAAGAATATGTGAAGCAAAAATAAGCTTTGGATTTTCTTCTGAAATATGTAGTCATTATGCTAAAATTATAATAGATAGTATGAGTATCCCATTAATCAAAGAAGATAACAGATCTATAGGTGACTCTTTGAGTTATAAAGCTAGCTCTACTAAAAATAACTTATCTAAATCAATGAAATTTAAACCTGATCTAGCTCAAGAGGAGATTATAAATATAATTAACAAAATTCTCTCAAATATTGAAGATAAACTTGAAGGGAAATCAGAGATTCAATGCTCTGCATCATCATTGTTTTGTAATAATAAGCAATGAAAGAAATATCATGAAATATTTCACAACAAATCTGAGATAGAGACTAATTCATTCAGCTCTAATTCAGAATCCATAGATTCAGACTGATATGATCTTAATTAGATAAATCCCTGAAAGAATCATGTTCATGTTAAAAAGAAAAAGAATGACTCTTTTATTCAAAAACATCATAAAAATAAATGTATCAACTATATTCACATTGCAGAGTAGTGATCTATCCAATCAGAATAATTAAAAAACTGAAAAATTATTAATCCACATATATAGTGAGTTCTCTTTATTTTTTTAAAAAATTACCAGATGGCATACAGATAAAAAAATATATATTTCAAAAAAGATGAATCAATTATATGCTTGATCCAGCATATCATCCTGTTAACCAGGATTTAACCAATCATTATATTATTCTTCTTATCATATTCTAAATTATCTTTTGACATTTTTCCCAAGGTCTGCTTATCTAATTTTTATTAAAGATATAATTTTATTAGCCACTATTTGTCTTCAGTAATTATATTTCAATAAATAGAATGCTTCATAGAGTATTTATAACACAAAACTTACAAGATAAAGATTATCTCAGTTTGCTTCATTATCTGGTTCTTGATGCGGAAAATGATAGGTTGCTAGAATAATTACTCTCAGATGCATTATTATTATTAGTCTTGAGGACAGAGAAATCATTGATCTTGATAGTGATTTTCTTATTACTGCTCATTTTTATATTCCTAAATACAGAATAGTGATAATCATAAATATGTTTTATGATATTAACTAAACAGCAATACATTAAATAGTGATATATTACTTGGAATTAGTAGTTTTAAATATTATTGGATCCACCTCACAGGAGAAAAAAGCCTTTTATTTTATACTATCCAGAAATATTAAATCTATTCCAAAATCCAAGTAATTTTGTCATTTTCTTTGATTAGAATAAACCTCTTAAATTAGATAATCTCTCCTGCAAAGATAATAATCTTAACAATCTGGGAAATACCAAGTTATTATAATATATGAACTTTGATATAACTACTAATGAGAAATAATAAGTTCTTCTCTCTTATAGCTCTTTTAAACTCATTTCAGATTTTTCTTATCAGAAAATAGATCATAAGAAATAGTCAGTTTGTGTCTGTCTCCAGTAAAAATAAGTAATAAAAATCATATCACATGAATTAAATCTGCAAATTAGGGATCAGCATAGAAGTTAGTATAACATAGATAATTATTAAATTTTTTTATTTATATAAGCTGGAAAATACATCTATACTACATACTTTTGTAATAAGAACCAGTGATAATAAAGCTTGAAAAGGCAATAAGAATAAAGAATCTGTTATTTCCTATCAGCACTATTATCAGAAAATGCTAATTATAGAACTTTGAAATCTCTGTAATTCCAGATTATTATTATGATTAACTAATTTTTATTTTACAGAAGCAATCTCAAATCAAAAGAGGAATTTCACTCATATGTATATGACCCATTGCTCTGTATATTCACATATCTTGACATATGACAATACTTTCTATAGAGACTGAAAAATTAGAGATTCAATACTCTGCATTATCGTAACAGGTTTAATAATAGTCAATTTTATCATTACTAGGTTCAAAGATTCGCTTGATAAAGTTTAGATCATTTTAATAATTTGGAATTAAGTGGAGCATATAAATAATTAGGCTTTACAAAGACTTTATTTCTCACCTTTCTACGAATTTTAAAAGATATGTGTTATCTATAGTAAAGAAAATATCTAGCAAAGCAATATTATACTTACTATAAATCTTTTTATTTAGGAAATGTAAAATGAATAATACTGATTATGCTAATATTAATCTCAATTGTCTTTACATATCTATTAATGAATTTGATGAGTTATCATATTATCTTCATATAATCCCTATTTCTACTATAATGATTACTGATATACTCAGGAAACAAATTCAAGCCATAATACCAAATGAATTAACTCATATTAATTATCAGATTCATATATTTCATCCCAAACTCATAGTATATGCAAATTTATCAATAGGGAGTATAAATATTAGTTCTTATTTTACTGAGAATCTTGATCATGATATTATTTATATTATCATAAAACCTCTTTCAGAATCAGAAATAATTAGGTATTTGCCAATCTAGATTTTTTGTATCTCACACTATGTATTAGCAATATATATTTTGCATTTTTATTTTTTATATCTGTCTTATATGTCTTGACACTAACTTTGTTATTACCAGTAATATTTTTCATTTTGTAATAATAAAGTAATAATGCATTAGATGTAATTTAAGTAGTACATTATCTCCTAATCAGTTCATGTAACTTCTCACATAAATATAAAACTACTGATTACCCAAAAATAAATATGATAAAAATTTTCACTTTTCAATATTGCATTATCTAGCTTTTCTCAGCAAGATACATAAATCAGATTTTTTACACTATATATTATTATAGCATATTTTCATCTACTGCTTCTTCACCTTCATCATTAGTTTTTACATTCTCTACTTTGATAAAAGAAAGGTCAACTTGCATGATGATAGATGTTATTAAAAATTACAAGATAGAAGAACTTATCAACTATTTATAGAGGCAAGATTTAGATCTCAAAGAATCCTATTTCAAGATTTTTTGATAGGAAGAAATTTCTGGTTAGAATTTTCTTAATATATCTAAAGAGAAGTTTTGCAGTTATGAATTAAAAGCTGGCCTAGCAAAAAGACTTACAGATTTTATTGATGAGATAACTGACTAAAAACTATGAAGCTTCTCTTCCTATAAAACTCTGGACGAATTAAAAGATATTCTTCGTAAATATAAGATTAATAATGAGAATATAACAAATATTAAATAATTCAACTCTGATATATAATATTTTGATAGGTTATTTTTCTTGGCAAAATTCATGATCAAAATGTCAGATATGTAATAATTTATCTTTTTCTGCTTTATAGTTTTTGAGGAAATTGATAATGATGATAAAACTCTCAAATAGTGTATGAATAAAATAATATTAAGACTTTTAAATCTGGAAATGATGCAGACTAATGCCAACAAAGCCACATATTGTGTATTTATTATGTTGATATTAAATGCATCTCTGGCTATTATTTGATAACTTAACAAAGAAGAAAAAATCTACATATCATATCAAAAAGCAGTTTTTGGTGAGGAGATATCTGGTCATGTCAATTTTGCAATAAAAGAAAATGAAAATCTTATGTATATAGCTAAAGAAAAGCCTTGTAATATCAAAATCAGTTACCTTTAGAATATCATATAACTAGAGAGTACGTATCATACTAATAAAAAGAAGCGTACAGCAGATGAAGCTTTCCAGAATGATGATTATGACTATCTTTATGAAATAGTTTCTACTGATATGTTGTATTTACAAATATTTCAGAATTCCTTATTTTGTTAGCTTCACTAATAGAAAAATATTATTTATTTTTAGTCATAGAATAGCATTTTATCATTTTTGCTACTGATGATCTTTATTGTATCAATAAAAGTAAATATCAAATAAATCTCTCTAAAATAGTACTCGAGGAGAATCTTGACTCTATTCGAAAAGACATAAAACAGATGTTAAGTATTATTATTGAATTATTAAAGAACTGGATTAGTATAGATAATTCTCTAGCCAGTAAGAGATCAAGGATCAAAAAATTTACCAAAAAATAGCAGATCCTGCTTCATATATATTTTATATTGTATTAATAAAGCAATCAGACCTAAATGGTCTTTTTTTCTAATAATTAATTTTTATGTGATATTTTTCTCTAAATTTATTTTTATTTTTCTTGATATTTACACTTCCTGAACTAAGTAAGTTCAGTAATTTTTATCACGTATTTCATATATCTACAATAAAAAATAATTTATGTATCAAAGATACTAGCTTTATTATTAATCTGAAAATAATATAATTTTATGTCTCTCTGACACTGGCTCCGCTATTAGCCAAAGGCTTACTTATGCTAATATATTTTTTTGATCTGATCATTAAATATTAACCCATTTTATGATATTATATATGATCGAGAATCTTTATCTAATCTTTTCATTTATTAATTTCATATTAGGAAATATTTGACTATCTTCCACATCATACATACTAATATTACTGTTATTTTGAGACAAGAATATAATACCAGTGACAACTACTTTGCAGTTAAAAATAACTTGGCTCTGATTCATTTCTGAAAAATTATTTTGTGCTTCATCTGTGGCCTTATAAGGTGATGGTGCTAATTGAAGAGATAATATTTTGATAGAGCCAGCATGACTAATATTTTGTTCAGGATTTTTCACATTAGGATTATTTGTATTAGTATTTATTTCATCATGAGGTGGAGATGAAGATGCTGACTGTCTATAACTTCTTTAACTTTTTCAACTATCAATAGAAGTTCTTCAACTTCTTCAATTATCTGACAATATTTGGCCTAATTCATGTTCAACTTCTCTAGTAGATGATACAGGTGTATTATTCCCTCCAATTCTATGTTATCTATGATTAGAACTATTAATGTTATGGATTTTATCAAAATTATCTTCAGATCTCTCTCAAAAATATGTATGGAATTCATCAAAATATTGTATACCCATTCGACTTCTTCATACTCTTCAATTCTCTATCATATAATCATATATCAACTAATTGATATAAATTATTAGTCATAATAGCTAAGATGTAAGCAAAAAATCTTTGAGCCTTAATATATCATACTTACATTGTAATCCTGAACAAGATTTATAAACTTTTCTTTACATTGGTATCTATTAAAGCTTGTATTATATTCTTGATTAATTTTGGTTGTGATGCTATCTCAAAATCTGATTTGATTTCTTCTAAAATTATGATATTCTTCATTTCTATTTCTACGCTCATTGATAAGAATACGTATTTGAGTATCAGCCCATTTAACCATTTTTATAATATTTATCCTAATAATGAATATAATAAATAGACTGCAAGAAGATGAGATTTTATTACTTTTATAAATATATCTTATATATTTTAATAGTACTTTGACAGTACTTTAACCATACATCTATGATTATATTAAGATATATGTGCTTGATACTAGCTCCGCTATTATATAATTTATTGCTTTTCTAATCACACTTTAACATTATTTTAACCATGTTTTAATAGTATAAATCTATAGATGTTCATTTACTTTTTTCATATAAAAGTAGTATAATTAACTGAATACATATGCCCCAGATTTGTATATCTTGGATTTGTCTATCTCAGACTGGATGATTTCAAATAGTGAGTGTCATACATTCTTATCACTGGAAAATTAATATGCTTATATGACACATAAAAAATAGATCATAATATATCTACACATCTCTCTCATTCTTATAATATACATTACTCACAAAATATGATGATTATAATACTCTTGAAGAGATAGTTTGAGAATCCAGGTCCTATAGAGTGCTCTTTGAGCATCACACAAAATTTGAATTATATATTCTAGAGTATATAGTTATTAATTAAATAGGTCTAAATATTCTAAATATAATATAATCAATAAATATGTCTGGTTTTGATATTACTATTATTATTAATAAAAAAGATAAAACACTTCCTAAACCATATATTAATCATCTTGATTTTGATATGAAGTATGCTGTATCATATATATCACATTATGGTAGAACTTATGCTAATAAACTCAATCAAATTTTTGATAATGAGAGATTATTTGACATTTTATCTACTATAAAACAGAATAAAACACCTGTTCAATAGGCAATACAAGTAAGAATTCCATTACAAGATTTGTTAAATTCAGGAAAATTTAGTATATATTATTAATATTATTTATTTATATCATTTGGTAAAGATAAATTTGTCAATTTCAATTACTACAGACCAAAGATTTATAAAAGTCATATGACTATTTATTTTGATTACTGGAAACTCATAAAAATTGATAATGTAAATCCTAAAAAATTATTCCATTTTACTATATTGATTATCTCAAACCTAAAGATCTGATGCAGAAATATTGGGACTATGAATGTAATAAACTAAAGACTGATTTTGGAAAAGCAAGAATTATACAAATAGCTTATTGAAATTATAAGAATAGATCTGAATCATTAGTAACTCAAGCTTGAAATGCAATGAGAAATGATAATATTTCAGATGATAAGAAATTTCTAGATTTAACTAGTCATAAAGTAAAAAATTCTCAAACTTGAGATCAATTCAATCAGTGAAAAGCTGAGAAAATTGCTATATATAAAAAATATAATAGCTTACAAATGCTTAGTTTCTTTCATAATAGTAAATATGAAGAATATTACATTCCATATGATTGGATAGATAGAAAGAAAAATCAATTACGAGATAGATTTAGTAAGCATCTCCAACAATTAAAAGTGTAATATATTAATACCTATCACATCTAAAGATGGCTTCTCAACTAATTGTGGCTTGCGGCAGCCAATCAGAGAATTGCAACAGAGTTGCGGCAGCCAATCAGAGAATTGCGACAGAGTTGCGGCTAGTTGCGGCTCCCATCTCTAATCACATCTATTATATTTATTCAATTTATCAACTCCATCTTCTTGTAACTCTATCACTCAAAGTCAGAAAAGTAGATGCAGAATGTATTACAAATAGTAGATAGAGCAGAGCTCATTATTATATAATATGATACATATCTTTTATTATGAAATAATGGCACTTATATGCCTTTAAATATTTTTTTATGGTATAGCTATAAGTCTTATTGTGAAATAATAGTACTTACATGCCTGACTTTACTTTGATTTTTATATGTCAATCCATTTTCATCTGACACAAAAATCTCTAGTGATAATAATAGATTGTGCTTGTTATTATTACATATTCACTCTAACTTCAAACATGACAGGATTTGGTCAGCTCAAAAATATAAGTGGCAGATAAGATATATTAATATTAATAGAATAAAATTATAACTGAAAAAATATTCTATTATCAAACTAATTATATAAACGTGATTTTATTATAACCTATATGAATCATAAAAGTTAATCTAATATTAGATCTAGTACTAGTTTTTTACTTAATAGAAAGTAGATTGATTCATCAGAAATAAATAGGTATTTCTTTGCATTGAGAACTAATAAATTTGAACAGTGATATGTAATTTCATATATTATTTTATCAGTGATATAAATATATTGAAAACTAAGATTCTGAATATTTGAACATGAATGAACTATACTACATATAGCATTATTAGTAATTTTGTAATAGAAAGTGAGAATAAGCTTTTGCAGATTTCAATTTAACTATGCAGTTTTTTTAATTAATTTATCAGTTATCCATTCACAGCCTTCGAGAAAATAATTTTACATATCTGGATAGTCAGTTATAATTGCACATATAGCTTTATCCGTAATTATTTCATTGAATAACAAATCCAGATATTGAAGATTTATACACGAGCATGTAATTATACAAATTGATTCATCATTAATAGAAGGTTGTCCATTAAGGTTTAAATATACTAGATTGGGACAAGATCATGTTATTTCAATCACAGATGTACTAGAAATGTTACTATCTCTATATAAAGAAGCAAGACTTATATATTTTAAATTTGGACAAGATTGTGTTATTTTACTAACACATCTATCAGTAATAACTGTATATGCATCAAGACTCAGATATAGTAGCTTTGGATAATATTTTGTAATTTTCATAATTGGTATATTACTAAAACTATAACTTCAATTAAGAATAAGAAAGTTTATATTCAGGCATAAGCACAAAATTTCACTAAGTAATATATTTGAGATTTTTAAATCCATTATTTTGAGATATACCATCTTTGAGCAATAGAAAGATTTTGTCTTTTCACATATAATTCTTTTAAACTTTCTTAATTGCCAATAAAGAGGTTCAAATATATTTTTATTATATTAGTTCTGCCAATAATCTTCTATAGAAAACTCAATGTGTCTCTATAGAATCGAAATACTACAGTGATATCAAAGTCTATTGATAAATAATGCTGGATAGAGTACTTTATCCTTAGCCAAGAAACTGAATATATTTTCAAGTAACTCTGGAAGAATAAGAGAGTTGATCATATTTAGTTCTTTATATAAGCATTTGGAAACTTGAAGTGGTTTTATATCCTTAACACAGTTCAATAGATTAAAAATTTCTTGCATCTCTGAAATATAGCCCTGGTTAGGCAGAATGTTTATTATCTTTTAATCTTTCAATCTCCTTTTCTAGATCAAGAGGGGTGTCTCATTGAAGTGAAAAAGACTCAGATCTGGGTTTATTTGGATCTATAACTATAAACTCTTTTTGCCTCAAATAACCATCAATAATTTTTAAAGCTTTTTGCAGATTTATATCAGTGTAAGAACTTATAATATTTGCAAGTTTTTGAATAGAGCTCTCACCATTAAAGAGAATAATATGAGTAGCATTTTCATGAATATCTATTAGAATTTTGTAAAATTTCTGAGCAATATAAATTGAGAAAATATTCTCATGATGATCTCAAGTGAAAAATGGAATAATTTTTTTCTGTATAACTAGAGGGTCAGAGTAAAGAACTTCAAATATTGCTAATATATTTCTTTTAGTATTAAACTTTTTGAGATCTGAAATTTTATTAGGAGATAGTGTAGAAAATGTGACATCTTCATAATAGAGCTTTGATTTGTCTTGGACAAAATATTTATAAAAATCTCAAACTATTTTATATTTTGGCTCATTTAAATAATGTTTGAAAAGAAATACATCATCGCATTTAACATTACATTTCTCTATCTTAGAATACTTTTTCTTCTTAAACATGTAATAAAATTTGGACATTATTAGCAAGTTTAAATTCATATTGATCTTACCTAAATTGCTAGTCCCTGCCATCATGATATGAAAAGGCCATGCTGGTACATCTTTATCTTCCTGGTATTTTTTTGAAGGTTTTACCTCATCCATGGCAAATACACAATATAACATCTTTTTGTTATAAATATATATTATATTTTTTTATTTCAACGAATAATCTAATTTTGACATGCTATTTATATCTATATTTTGTAGATAATCTTTCTCTTACAATTTGCATTTTATATATAGAAATAAATCAGCACCATATGATATTTTAATAAGATCTATATTAAAGATGGCTCCTCAACTAATTGCAGCTTGCAGTAGCCAATCAGAGAATTGTGACAGAGTTGCGGCTAGTTGCGGCTCCCATCTCTAATCTATATCTCACTCTTTGCATATTTTCCACTTTTTTTGATCACATTTTCTTTGATTATCTAGATCATCTTGATTTTTGTGATATAAACTATTGTAATAGTAGTGTTGAACTCTCTGGAATTTGTATGCTAATTTTAGCTCTTCATTATACCCATCTAATTGTATCTCATTCAAAAATGACAGTTTACAAAATAGAAATTTCTTATCCAACAGATCCTCAAAAATATATCTACATTTTTACTCATCATTATGATGGAAACAAATTGGATACCATTCAAATTTCATAGCTATTAATGGATATAGATATTCCTATTGATGTTTTCCATTTTCACAAGACCAGAGATATATCAAAATTATTTATTTAGCCAGTTTTATCAAGATATTTTTCATTATACTTCTTTGCATACTCTTCAGCTTTAGCTATTTTATTAATAATATAAACAAAATTAACAGATCTGGAGCGAGTATTTTCTTCCAATATACTCTGAAGCAGATACTGAAGTTTTTCTAGATCTATATGCATGAGCTCTTCACATACAAACCCCCACTTTGGAGAATATTCATCGTCATTATCTCCGAGATAATATAAAATTGGCTCATTCTTCATTACAATAATTTTTTGAATTTTATGAATGCTTGGACTGAATGTGAGATTTGTCACCCTTTTCTGATTCTCCATACCTCCTTTCCATTCAGTATTAGCAAGCAGATAGTAAACACTATCCTCTTTTTTTAACTTATTTTTCTCATCCTTTCCAATAGGATGCTTATACTTTATAAATGGTCTAGATTCTACTTATTCTAATTTAATAGCTTTTGCTAGAGCTAAATCTTATTTTGATGAACCTAGAACTCAAATGAGACATGTCAGATAATTATTAAGATAATCTATTACTTCTGGCAAATACTTAACTCACTCTCTTATTAATTTAGGATTTTTAGATATTGATTTAATAGCATATTGAATTTTATAAAGCATCTCTACTAATGTCTTATTGAATCATTCTACAAGAGCTAATCCACAATGACTATAAGTACCAATTACTCAAATTGTGACATTATGCACTTCCATTAATCAAGCAGTTTCACTCATAAATTCTTTATCACCATCACATTGTAGAAGTATCAGATACATAAGAGAATTATTTGAATTATCATAAATTTTCTTAAATACTTTAGTAACTTTGAAACTATTCTTCAATGTTAGAGGAATGATGTATTTAAAACATGATACAACATCTATAATAGTAAGTGCCTATTTGTATGTCTTTCTATTAACTATATCATTTGTAAGATATAGCAAATTACACATATGCACACAATTCAGGTGACTGATTTTACCATAACTAATCTGTGAAGTATTTTTTGATGATGAGGTATACTTTTGCTATTTATTCTGGTTATATAACCATTCACAAATTTTTTTATATAAGAAGTTATATTCTTTATTTTTGATAGCATTATATAGCTTTTGAGAGTTGGAATGGTAATTAGTAGATTAGTAAAAAAGCAATTTACAAATTAAGTTTAACTTCTTATCTGGATCAATTCTAATAATAAGCTTGCTTAATCTACTCATTTTTGATATTACTTATTATAGCAAAGTCAAGAGATAAGATAAGAGATGAAGTCTCCTTTCTATAAAAGATATAATATGTCATAAAAAATAAAGACAAAGTCTTATTGCTTCATAATAATTATGACATTTCATAAACCCCAACCTCCCAATTAAACAACTCATAGATTAGCTACAGATAAAGAACTTGAGCTAGAGCAAATTAACCAAGAACTCCAGGAAATATTACAATCAGAGGTAATCATCAACAAATTGAATGAGAAATACATAAATGAGCTAGAGCGCAAATATACCTAGTGTGAGAATGAAATTCAATCTCTCAATAAAGAACTGGAACAGCTTGAGAATACTTCAGAGGAAGAAAAAACAGAGTTAAGATCAGAGATATTATTTCTTAAAAGAAACTTATATCAAGCTAAAAAGAATATTCAAGATAAGGTATCCTATATTGATAATATAGAGAAGCAATTACAAGAATCAGAAGAGTGAGTTCAAAATTTAAGGTATAGATTCAAAGTTATTTCTTCTTGAAGAAGCTCTCCAAGTTTATATAATTCAGAAGAGGAAGATATAGATATAGCGAATCTTGATCTTTTTATTCAAATTAAATGAGACTTAAATCATATTAAAAATCACATTCAAGGTGATAGTACTCCATTAAATAATCCTATCAATATTATAGAAGACATTAGAGATTCCTTAAATACTATTCAGTATAATTATCAGTCCACATATCAGAATATAGATGATGTTATTACTCAATGAAATGATAGAAATAATCAGATAATTCAGCTATAACAGGATGTTAATTTCTATAGATAGCAAAATGCCAATCTTTAAAATCAAACTAATCAACTTGTTCAGGAGTGAGATACTTTACAAAATTATATCAATCAACTTATACCAGAGTGAGATATCTTGCAAAACTATGTCAATTAACTTATACCAGAATGAGATGTCTTGCAGAATCATGTCAATTAACTTATTCAAAATCTTAATAATAGCTAACAAAGATATAATTTATGAGAGTATTTGTGATTTAATGCAAGTCTGATATGGAATGAACAATCAAAACTCAAATGTATTCTTGAAATTATTTATAAGATATTTATTCATCACTTAGAACAAGAGCTATATCAATACCAGACTGATAAAGGATTATTAGAATATAATTGAGATTAGCTCTTTAATAGATATTACAATAAATTCAAGAATCAAAAGACAAGTCATATCAAGTGGAAAAATAAGGAGTGCAATTCCTAGCAATTAATTTTGAATTTAAATCAACAAATATTTGCACTTCAGAATAATTTACCTATAAATAATCAATATAAAGAAATGGCAGAATACACACCATCCCTATTTTACAAAAAAGCCAAAGAAGATCCTGAAGAATGGATTAGAGATTTTAAACAATATTGTGAAGTATCCGGACTTGATCCACTAGCAAATGCTCGAATTAGAGTAAGAATTCAGACTTTTTGAGACTTGTTTAAGAGATGATGCAAAAGATTTTTATAAAACTCATCTCAAGAATAAAAATTAGAAATTGCAACATATTAGTGATAATATGGGCCTTGCAGATCTTGGTGCTATCAATAGATTAGCTAATAATAATGCATTGTGCAATATTAATACTAATCAGTTTAGAGGTGAAGCTCTTCAAATAAGAAATACAGTTCCAGCTGATAATAATGTAATTGCTACACTATTAGTGTCAACACATACTATTTTTGATGAAGATTGGTTGATAGCTAGTGAACAACCAACAGATTTAGCTCCCAATACTCCCAATACTAATGTAGGAGATAATACTATTGCTCCTGATATTTGTATTAGACAAGAAATATACTGGTTTAGAACAAATTATTCAACAATTACTGCTGAAAAATCAAAAGTTGTATTTAATAATATTATTCAAGAAACTGATCCTATAGGCCAATTCTATGCATAATTAAAAAGAATGATTGTACTTGCTTATCTAGCACTCCCAGTATTAAATCAGGAAGAAATGATTAGATAATAATTCTTTCAAGGTCTTTTCTCTGATAATAAATTAGAAGTAAGATGTATTGGTCTTGAAAATCCAATTTCCACTTTATTACCAAAATTAGAACAAATTGAAAGACAGAAAGCTAAATTAATATTAGGGTAGTATGATCCCAATTCTCATCCAGTCACTTCTCATTCACGATCTATAGCTAATACAAAAGATCCTTATATAACAAACAATACAAGTATAATCAAAGAAGAAATCAAAAATTTGATGAAAGGTATTATGATATCTTCACAATCTCAACCTATTTCTTTGCAGACAGCTTTTCAATTGCAAAATAGACAGTTGATATAATCCAGTCAAATGGAACTAGATAAAATATATAGGAATTCTAATTTACACTTAAATGATCAAGAATGGCTTTAAATAGATGAAGCAACAGATCATCTTAGTACTCTAGTAGGTTCATTTACTTTATAATCATTAATAGATACAATTACTAAAGGAGTTGTTGATAAATTTTCTTCCTTCTTGTCTAAGAAAAATAGAGGAAATACATCAAAAAATATCAAAGTTGACTCAGATGAAGAACTGGCTAATCATATGAGTAAGTTATCAATAAATAAGACTATATCTAGATAGGTCAAGAAGGAGATTAAGAGATCATCCCAGTACAGGTGCTCAAACTGCAATAGAACTAGATATAATTCTTGCAAGTGTACTTATAAGAAAAGATCTAAGAATAGATTCAAAAAGAGTAGTAATATCAATAATATTATTATGGATTCTGACTCTAGTTCAGATACAGACTCTTCTAATAACAATTCTTTAGATAATAACTCTAATCCTGAGGAAAGCTCATCTGAATCTGAAGCTGATATCAATGTCAATATCACGCATTTAAAAAAAAAGTAAAGAATAGTTCAAAAAATAAGTCACCTTCTAATAAGAATAATTTGAATAAATCATCTTCTAAGAAGTTCAAATCACGCAAAATAAAAAAAGACATATCTACTTCCAATAAATCAATTACCCTTAAACAGAATATTCATCAAATTTTATTAGAAATGCTCGAAAAGATCTTACTCTCACACCAGTTGGAGAAACTTAAATCTAAAGATAAATATTTATTCATTCTAGATTTCATGAATCACTGAGATCTAATCCCAGCAATACCTAATTTAGAAGATGAAGAGACATTGGATGATCTTATGGAAATTGATTTTATTCAGAAAAAAGATCTGGCTACAGATGTTGTAACTACAAAATACAAGATCAAATAATTAATAATTCTGGTAGCCATGATAGATCCTAGTACAAATTTTCTAATTATGTCTGAAGATATAGCTAAATGATTAAAGTTAGTAATTGATACAAAAGAAAAATATAATCTTAGAGGTATTGTTACTATTTCTACAGAATTTCTTGAAATTACCCAAAATATAGTAGTAGACTTTATTCCAGATTGTACTATATATTCTGATTTTGTGATAGTCAAATATCCCAAACCCATGCTAATTTTGCCAAATACTCTCCTAGATAAATATGATTATGATTTACTCATGTCAAAATGAGAATTAAAGCTCATATATAATGGTAAAGAGTATTTTATTCCAATAAATATATACAAAGTCAAGAATAAACTTGAAGTAAATTGTGCTACTGCATCTCAGAATAATAAGTTATTGATATCTGATCAAATTTCTCAAGAGACAGATAATGATAAGAATGATAATATAACATTGAAGGAATGATATGCTCCTGCAGATTTTAGCTTATTGCAAAGTAATGAGACTCTGCCTCTAGATTCTGATAATTCAACTTTAAAAAAAATGTGTAAATTGTGAGAGATATGTGAAAGAAATACATAATATAACTAAAATTATTGTCAATCTCAATGCTCTTATTAAACATTATATGGAAAAAAATAGAAAGAAGAATAAATAAAGTTTAGAGTCTATGTCTTATCAATCTTATACTTTGAATTTGCTAAATTTCTACCTTCACCTACTGCATATCTAAATTGAGCAACTGTATCTGCATCTATTTTTTCTGTTAAGTCCTTGGAAATAATAAGTAAATTAGATATTTGATCAGACTTGGATTTCTTTGTTTTTGTTCACTTATTTGGTTATACTGACTCTATCACAAAACAATAGCTTGAAGAGTCTATTGATATATTGTTTAAAGATTGAGATTCTATATAGAAGATATTTATGGTAGAATCAGATATATTAGAGAAGCTAGTGATAGCTGGAAGCTGGTTTACATCAAGATACTTAGTATTTTGATTTGATTCATCATCATTATCATATGAGTGGAGTATAGATTAGTTCCAGAGAACTCTATTAGCTTCTTCCCCTCTCCAAATCTGATAAATACATTTTGATGATGTTTTATATTTATCCAATAACTCCTTTAAAATTTTGTATCTTGGCTTTATATCACAGCATTGTATAATATAAATATAATCATTGGAAGTAAATTAAGATGCATCACATTTCATATGTACTCTAATCATAGTGATAAGTACTTTATTCTTTTTGTTATTTTGAAAATATAAGATATTTATATCTAGTGAAAAATATAAAATATATCAAAAAAATATAATATATTAAATATATAGATCCAATACTCATTTAAAATAGATATTCTAATCCATTATATTTATATATTCTATTTGTTACAAATATCACATATATTTCATATAATATATCAAGCTCAATATATGTGTATAGTAGAGCTAGTATCTCTGATATATATTTAACTTTGCTAATTATATTTAATTTATTTTTTAGTAGGGATATTAATATGGGTATTAATGAAGAATTGCGTTATATTATAAAAATTATATCTGATCTAAATACTTATAATAAATTATTGAGAGCTAATTGATTAAAGCAAGAGCAGGATTTTGATCAAGAAAGAAAGGGATGGAATCAGGATAGAAAGAAGTGGAGTAAAAAACTAGGAGGGACTAATACTAAGATCCAGAAATTACATACTCATGATCTGGAACTTATTAAAGAGAACAGATATTTACAGATTGAAAATACTCACAAAAATATATCTCTTATGGAATCCAAGACTAAACATGTTACAAAATTAGAGAAGATTAAATTGCTTCAGAATGGGATGAAATTATTGAAAGATAAGCTAGATTTATCTCAGAAAGACTCATCAAAGAAAGAATCTGAAATTGAGTCTCTCAAGTCTAAGATAATTAAATTAGTTTTAAAAATTAGTAAATTGGAGCATCTAAAATCTGAGGATATATTGAGATCTATAATTGATAGAAATAATAAAAAAAATATGCTGTATGAGGAATAAAGTTCCATAACCAAGCCTGATGATATATCTATAGTATTACAAAGCAGGTCATTAGGTGATAAATTGGAGATGAGTCAAAGACTTGAAGCTCAGCTTTCTTGAGACTCTGTCTCTTCTTTGAATCATAACATTTACATGTCTAATGAATCTAGCAAAAATCTAAGTAAGTATTTTATACATAAAAAAAGTATAAATCAAACTGAAAAAATTGATAATGATATCTTGACAGATACTAATATTTTTAGTACTTGCTTTGCTAATAATAAGATTATTGAACTATCAAAAGATAATACTACAATTATTCCTAAGATAAGTGATGAAATTGATATTAGCAAAACTAATAATAATATACTCCAAGAAATACTAAATGTGACTCTATACTTTGCATAACTAGAAAATTATACCCCCTCTTTGATTGAATCGTATTCTCAAATTCTGATAGAAGAAATAGGAACAATTCCTATTATAGTGAGCACTTTGATGTCACCATTATTAGCATATATTTTTCTTATTCTGTTAATTATTGTGATTATGTAGTTCATAATATTAAAATGTATGTGAAATATAGGTAGGCTCAAAGCACTATTGCTCTACAGGCCTGAAAGAGCAACTCTAGGCTCAAAGAGCCATTTCTTTAAAATAAAGAGTCATAAAAAAAGTGATCAATTATGGGATATATGAATTGGGTGAACATTTATATGAACTTGGATATTATTTATGTATAAAAAAAATAATCTTATTGTATAGTCTCATAGATATTGTGTTATATTTATATTGAGTCAATTACCTTATACTATATATTTAGAAAACTGTCAAGTACCAGTTGATCAGCTTTCATTATATTAGATATAATAGGTGACTCGATAACTATCTCATTTTTTCTTATAGTTTTGGATGGGCCAATTTTATCTGAGTTTGATATGTATTCTTTATATCACATGTGGTATACTAATTGATAAAAAGAGGTATCATATTTTTTGATAATTGGGATAAGTGCATTTAGGTATTTTGTAAAATCAGAGCATATAGATTCTCTTATCTTAGTACTTACTGAAAGATTATTATTTTCAGTATATGCTTTAGCATATTCTATGAATCTCTCTTATAATCTCGAAACAGGGTCATCTACCTTAAAGTCTTTAAAGCTTAATCAATCTTTATGATATATTTTATATATATTACCCATTTTCTGATATAATATATCTCACACTTTCTTATAAGCATATTTATAGGCATATCCACAATTAGATGTCTTTTTAGAATTGATTCCATTTTTCATATTTATCTTCTTAATATATGACTCAAGCCACTTCTTGGTCTTATTTTGAGCATAGATATCAATCTGTTTATACTTCTCATCCAAGTCAGAAATTTGCATAATCTTGTTGGTAAATGGTGATTCATATCTTTTATCATACATTATGAATTGGACACAAAGTATAGTAATAGTATTTTCAAAGTAATGGAATAGATCCAATTCCTTATTTGATTTTTTTGCAACATTCACAAATTCCATTTGATCACTCTTTTTCAGTATAAGCTTTTTACCAGATAAATCAAAGAGTGAATCTGGATAGATCATTATATAATTAAAGCATTCTCCTGGATCTGGAATCTTATTTTCATATTCTTTTCTCATCCATTTTATAAAACATTGAATATGTATATTATTTTTATCAGATTTTCACATAGCTGTCTTTATAAACTACTCAAAATCCCATTGCTTAGGATTGGATATGGTCTCTTTAAGAACATCTTCAATAATCTGATAGAATGAATGTATATTATTGATATCCATAACTCTCCACATGATTTGATCTCCTATAGTTCTAAAAAGTTAGGACTTATCTTGTTTTATAATATCAATTCCTTTAATGAAAAGTTCATCTGATTTAAAGTTCACAGCTTTCTTGTGTACTATACCAAAATACTTTTTCTTACCAGTAAAACAGATGGGAAATAATATCTTCTCATATACCATTTTTAGGTAAACTGATCTGCTTTTTAATTTAAGAAATGAATTTATCTCATTACATAGTCTTTCCATTACCTTCATAGTAATTTCAATCATTTCCATCCAATACTCTAACTTTGAGATTATACCTTTGCCATTATTATAAGCAAGATCATATTCTTTATAATAATTATTAGGGAATTTAAGATATAAAGAGTCTGTATTATCATACTTAATTTCAAAATCTTTCTTTTTCACGTATTCTGTAACAAGCTTAATATTATACTGCTCTACTAATATAATATTACCAGCAAGCTGGCGTATATAAAAAGATGAGAGACTGTTACTCATTTTACCATAAAATAAATTCATATACACTTTTAATACTTTCTGCTTTAAATCTAAGTAGCTGTAGTCAAAATAAATCAAATCATATTCTTCTATAAAATTCTTATAAGATGTTTCAATAAAATTATTTAGGGTTTTGGCCACATTTAGATGTTTCTTTTCATCTTTTATATCCTCCAGAATAGCTTTAATAGTTTTTACAATTACTATCAAACTAACTTCAGAATTTATTCTACTTTTCACAAGTTCCATATGCTCTATTTTCTTTCCAAGAGATTTCAAT